TTCTTCTTGAGCTTGTTCTTTAGCTTTGATTTTCTTTCAATTGTTGTTGGTGCTTTTTCTATCTTTTTTCTTGTCTGGTTTGAAACGTTGGTTTGGATATGTATTTCTTGTTTCTTCTAGAATTAATGTGAGCCAGTCGCTTTCTTTTTTTTTGATTCTATTGACTGCTAGATTTTTACTATACTCATAGTCAAAACTAACTTCTACCCAAAAATTTTCTCTTTTGAATTTTTTTTCAATGTTTCTAATGTGTTTGTTTTCTCTCAAAATTCTTTTAACATAATTTGCTCTTTCTTCGTCTGTATTATCAGGAAATTTTATGATAGTACATTAGTGAGAAAAACTTTGTTACCTTTACAATTTCTATTTTTGAGTAACCAAATACTTTATTCTAAGAGTATGGTATAAATTAGATGATTTTGGTTTAAATCTTAAGTTTCTATCCTTTTAACTTCTTCTTGTTTATATCCTTCATTTCTTTTGATAGTATCTGCAAGATTCAATCAATTGAAGTATCTTCGTCTTTTTTTACTTTTTTTCCTCTTGATGTATCTGTGTCTCTGTTTTCTGCCTTTGTGTATCTTGAGAGATTAGACTTAGAGATAGATGAATTGCTTATTTGTATCTTCGATTTTGTTTCAATCTTTAAGTTTTGTATTTGTTCTACGACTTCGTTTATATCTTTGTTAGGTTTTTTTTCTTTTTCTTCTTATCTTCATTTTTTTGAACCTGTTGCCTGTTTGGTCTTAATGTGAGTTTCTTTTTCTACTCCATCTATCTTGTTCTTCTCTTTCTATATTTCTTCCTTCCTCATGTTTGTTATATACTCAATTAATACTAGGTTGTTTCTTGCAATTTTGATTTTCTTAGCCTATCTTTTGATTGTGTCTTCTTAAAAACAAAGATTTGCTTTTCTCAAAGTATCTCTTATTTGACTATATAGTAGTAACTCATAAACTATTATACGATCTAGGTTTCTGATTACTAGATCCTTGGCTAAGTTGTCAATATCGTTTGGTTCTATCAGTGTTTAAGTTTGTAAAACTTCTACTAACTTTTGGTTGTTTATATACTTGATGACTTTTTCACTTGCTTTATGTATATATGCCATTAAATCTGTCCAAACTGGTTTTGTTATTTCAATCTTCATTTTTGCTAGAACTTTCTAAATTTCTTTGTTGTTTTCTGTAAATCCACGTGTTGGAATTGTTGTTTGTTGTTGCCAAATAACAATATTTTCTAAAATAGAAAATGATTACTTGTTTGTTTACTGTTGTTATTTTCTATTGTAAAATGTGATTGTTTGTTTGTTGTTTTGATGATCCCCTGTCATGCATTTATATTGTTGAATTTGCAGGGTCTAGAACGAAAATTCAAAAACCCAATTTTTTGTAAAATTTTTTCAAAAAGTTATATGTTTCTTTGGATTCAATTATCTTTAAGTTCTTGTATTAAAAGACTCTAGATAGTTTTCTGCACTAAATCTTTTTCCTTAATATTAAAAAGATTGTTTTCTATGTTGTTTGTTGAGAAATCTTTTGTTTTTGTTTTATCGATTTCTGGAATTGATAATCAGCAGAGAGAGTGTGTTGTAAGTTTTGAAAGATATATTATATATATTTTAATTACTCTGTTTTAAATATTTTTTTAAGTAATTTAAATCTTTATAATTATTTAACAAATATTTTAATAGCTTTAAATATTTTTTAAAATTTTATAAAAATCTTTTTTAGTCTAGAATTTTTAACAAAATCTAGTTTTTATATAATAAATTATTAATAATTTTTAAAATATTTATCTGTTTTGAAAGATTTAACTATCAAAATATTCATCTTAATAAGACAAATCTAACAACTCCAAAATTATCAAAATCTAATTACAGGATTTTAAGATAATCTAAATTTATCCAAATATAAAATTCATTGAATAATATGATATTATTAGTATTTCAAAAATAAAAGTCTATAAGGTTACTATTCAATACATCTTTTTTTTGTCACATATTTCTTATAATTATTCACAATCATTGCATCTAACTTATAATAATATGGTATTTTGGTAACCGGTTTAGGGTCCAAATCGATCACGTTAACTTTATACTTTAAAAATTTTTTATTATCATTATCATTGGGAAAGGGAATGAATTTAAATTTTTCTTCAAAAAATTGACTAATAATTTTATGTATAAAACTTAAATTACGAATAAATTTAAAACGGAATAATAAGAATAGATAATTAAGTTACCTGATATCACGTGAAACTCTTGTTTCATCGTTAAAATGAGATTTCTGGAACGTGAAAATTATTGAACAATCTTTTAAAGTAGTTGACATCAAAAACTCGTATATTCGTTGTCGCATTTGTGCGTCATCCATATTTAAATTTAATGCTATAATAATATAATGGACATTATTACAATAATGAGCATAAAAAACATTGATAAATTACAAACCGCCGGGACTCTTAATCCTCTGTTCGTGTTCTTTCATGATTAACTGCCATTCTTCTATTGTTGGTTCATATAAAGTTGATTGCTGTTTCAAAAATAACTCGTATATGCCTTCTATGTCCAATTCATCCAGTGTTTTTTGAAGTTGTTTGAGTCGTTTAAATAAAATTTGCTCTTCGAGAATAGTGCGCGATAACAGCACGACCAACAGATTTTTTATATCAACACTTTAAAAGATTGTTCAATAATTTTCACGTTCCAGAAATCTCATTTTAACGATGAAACAAGAGTTTCACGTGATATCAGGTAACTTAATTATCTATTCTTATTATTCCGTTTTAAATTTATTCGTAATTTAAGTTTTATACATAAAATTATTAGTCAATTTTTTGAAGAAAAATTTAAATTCATTCCCTTTCCCAATGATAATGATAATAAAAAATTTTTAAAGTATAAAGTTAACGTGATCGATTTGGACCCTAAACCGGTTACCAAAATACCATATTATTATAAGTTAGATGCAATGATTGTGAATAATTATAAGAAATATGTGACAAAAAAAAGATGTATTGAATAGTAACCTTATAGACTTTTATTTTTGAAATACTAATAATATCATATTATTCAATGAATTTTATATTTGGATAAATTTAGATTATCTTAAAATCCTGTAATTAGATTTTGATAATTTTGGAGTTGTTAGATTTGTCTTATTAAGATGAATATTTTGATAGTTAAATCTTTCAAAACAGATAAATATTTTAAAAATTATTAATAATTTATTATATAAAAACTAGATTTTGTTAAAAATTCTAGACTAAAAAAGATTTTTATAAAATTTTAAAAAATATTTAAAGCTATTAAAATATTTGTTAAATAATTATAAAGATTTAAATTACTTAAAAAAATATTTAAAACAGAGTAATTAAAATATATATAATATATCTTTCAAAACTTACAACACACTCTCTCTGCTGATTATCAATTCCAGAAATCGATAAAACAAAAACAAAAGATTTCTCAACAAACAACATAGAAAACAATCTTTTTAATATTAAGGAAAAAGATTTAGTGCAGAAAACTATCTAGAGTCTTTTAATACAAGAACTTAAAGATAATTGAATCCAAAGAAACATATAACTTTTTGAAAAAATTTTACAAAAAATTGGGTTTTTGAATTTTCGTTCTAGACCCTGCAAATTCAACAATATAAATGCATGACAGGGGATCATCAAAACAACAAACAAACAATCACATTTTACAATAGAAAATAACAACAGTAAACAAACAAGTAATCATTTTCTATTTTAGAAAATATTGTTATTTGGCAACAACAAACAACAATTCCAACACGTGGATTTACAGAAAACAACAAAGAAATTTAGAAAGTTCTAGCAAAAATGAAGATTGAAATAACAAAACCAGTTTGGACAGATTTAATGGCATATATACATAAAGCAAGTGAAAAAGTCATCAAGTATATAAACAACCAAAAGTTAGTAGAAGTTTTACAAACTTAAACACTGATAGAACCAAACGATATTGACAACTTAGCCAAGGATCTAGTAATCAGAAACCTAGATCGTATAATAGTTTATGAGTTACTACTATATAGTCAAATAAGAGATACTTTGAGAAAAGCAAATCTTTGTTTTTAAGAAGACACAATCAAAAGATAGGCTAAGAAAATCAAAATTGCAAGAAACAACCTAGTATTAATTGAGTATATAACAAACATGAGGAAGGAAGAAATATAGAAAGAGAAGAACAAGATAGATGGAGTAGAAAAAGAAACTCACATTAAGACCAAACAGGCAACAGGTTCAAAAAAATGAAGATAAGAAGAAAAAGAAAAAAAACCTAACAAAGATATAAACGAAGTCGTAGAACAAATACAAAACTTAAAGATTGAAACAAAATCGAAGATACAAATAAGCAATTCATCTATCTCTAAGTCTAATCTCTCAAGATACACAAAGGCAGAAAACAGAGACACAGATACATCAAGAGGAAAAAAAGTAAAAAAAGACGAAGATACTTCAATTGATTGAATCTTGCAGATACTATCAAAAGAAATGAAGGATATAAACAAGAAGAAGTTAAAAGGATAGAAACTTAAGATTTAAACCAAAATCATCTAATTTATACCATACTCTTAGAATAAAGTATTTGGTTACTCAAAAATAGAAATTGTAAAGGTAACAAAGTTTTTCTCACTAATGTACTATCATAAAATTTCCTGATAATACAGACGAAGAAAGAGCAAATTATGTTAAAAGAATTTTGAGAGAAAACAAACACATTAGAAACATTGAAAAAAAATTCAAAAGAGAAAATTTTTGGGTAGAAGTTAGTTTTGACTATGAGTATAGTAAAAATCTAGCAGTCAATAGAATCAAAAAAAAAGAAAGCGACTGGCTCACATTAATTCTAGAAGAAACAAGAAATACATATCCAAACCAACGTTTCAAACCAGACAAGAAAAAAGATAGAAAAAGCACCAACAACAATTGAAAGAAAATCAAAGCTAAAGAACAAGCTCAAGAAGAA